AATATTTTTTTGCAAAAAAAAAAAAGACTGCATGTGTCCTGAACACGTAGACTTTTTTCTTGCCATCATTCCCTGGACAATGCAGTGTTGAAGCACTTGCACGGCATCGGGTATTACACATAACCCAGAGGTGATTTAATGTGCATGAGAGGGTACACACAGGTTTAGTACAAACAGGACTCTAGCTGATGAGCTGGACTTGAGCATGCGTGGTTGTGTTTGGAGCCCTTTCCCAGGGACACCAGGGGTGACTCTGCCACACTGCTAACTGCAGCCACCCGGCTGCAACCAGAGCCCCAGAACTTCTTCACCCTGTGTGCCTGAAAGTCCGACCCTGGGACCAATCTCCCCACGTCTTCTGCACTGTGTCTACCTCCAGTTTCCCAGTTTCAGCATTAAAAACATTTGGAGAGAGTTTCACTGTTTTTTTGTTCTGTTTCAAAACACAACCGGCCAGTTTCTGATGTCTTTAGAGTGCTCACCACTACAACCTTCTTTAGTTGGCTTGTTTAAAGAGATTAGTATAAAGATACTTAGATTTTATTCTGTATAAAATCATTTGATTGTGGCCGGTGCCGCGGCTCAATAGGCTAATCCTCCGCCTAGTGGCGCCGGCACACTGGGTTCTAGTCCCAGTCAGGGCGCCGGATTCTGTCCCGGTTGCACCTCTTCCAGGCCAGCTCTCTGCTGTGGCCAGGGAGGGCAGTGGAGGATGGCCCAAGTGCTTGGGCCCTGCACCCCATGGGAGACCAGGAAAAGCACCTGGCTCCTGCCTTCGGATCAGCGCAGTGCACCGGCCGCAGTGCACCGGCCACAGTGCGCCGGCCGCGGCAGCCATTGGAGGGTGAACCAACGGCAAAGGAAGACCTTTCTCTCTGTCTCTCTCTCTCACTGTCCACTCTGCCTGTAAAAAAAAAAAAATCATTTGATTGTATGTAGTCTATAAATTTAATCTGATTTTGATTTTGGAAATCTTTCTTGGAATGGCCTATTTATATATCTAGTGTCTTTTTTTTTTTTTTCAGGATCCTTCAGAGTTAGTTTTTTTTGTTTGTTTTTTTTTGTTTTTTTTTTCCGAGACCAATAGAGAGCCAAGTTTTTCCTTTTGCCCCTACAGAGAGGTTTCACATTTTTACATCAGTTACCCTGGGAGCTGTGTTTCTGTCTATTCCTTCCACAGAGGCGCAGCCCTGGCTCACCTCAGTTTATACCAAGGACAGGAGGGGAGGTCTTCCAGCACATAGGAAGCTGACCGAATTATCTGTCGAATGAACGCATCTCAAAGAGAAGTCAGTTCCAGTGTCACAGCCATCACTTCAGCTGTGTTCTCAAGAAGCAGCACACCCTGCGTTTCCTCAAAGGGAGACGGGAGCCAGTGATGATCAAGATTTTTAGAAAAGAGGGTGCAACATGGAACATTTTCTGAAATGTAAGCATAGAAGTATGGTGCCTGCCATGACCCTGCCAGCCCTTCTCTGCAATCCAGCTCTGCAGCACTGGGGCTTACACATAGGGAACCGGCTTCATGCAGCTACGTCTCAAGGTGGGATCAACCCCAGCAAGCAGTATTTTCTGACCATTTAAGCCATGCTGAAGTTGGCTGTGCAGAAACTCCTTCTCACCACAACCGCCCTCTCCCCTCCATCTCTATGTAGTTGCTTTCTGTAGGAAGATGCGACTGTTACCAAAACAGAATGAGCTTCAGCAACCTCACGGGAAGAAGTCTTTGCACGTCACACTGAGTGGTGTCATTCATCTGATGATAAATGCTGTAGGTGACTTTCGATGCTGAAGCTTGAATCAAAGATTTCTGAAATGGACGGTGATTCCTATCTGCCTAGGCTCTCCTCACATGTATTATAAGCACTCCACAGAAATACAAAGCCCACACCACTATCCACTTCAGTGCAGAAAATGGGAAATTTCTTCAGCTCAAAGAACAGCGGAGTCCACCGTAAGTAAAATGTCTCCGACGGCTCCATCAGCGAGGGGAGTGCGGTCCCCAACTGAAGTACATTTCAAGTAGCTGTCAGTGGCTCCTCTTCTCTCTCACTGCATCGCTAAGATTATTTAGGTTGGGAAGTAGAGAAAGCATCCATTCTTGCACAGTTTCTTACAAATGCCTGAAATTTTCCTGGGGAACTTTCAGCTTCACTGTGTGTTTGACCCCTTGGGGAGAGATCATCTTCTGAACGTGCCACAGGCAGCTCCTCACCACGGAGGCATGCATCTTGCCCACGCTGAGAACAGGGAGCTCAGAAACCCTCCCACCCTCTAGGACACTCGTCCATTGGCACATGGCATGACTTGATGCCGGCAGCCCTATTCTGTACAGCTCTTTTTCGAAAGACATGCCACAGAGCATGACTGCTTTAAGAACAGCAAAGTAACTATCTGGCGTCTCCTTTTCTTTATTCTCAACAAGAGTGAGAAACACGTGTGAAAGAACGTAGCTATTTGCTTTTCTCCTCCATTGCCATGACTTTGAAAACCTAAACCTCACGTGGACTGGCTCCATGCTATCAACACGGCACAGGACAAGGAATTGGAGAGCGGGAAGCGAGTTGGGAAATTTCCAATCAATGTGCGCTGCTGCTTTTCTGTAACGCTGAGGGTTCTCAAGAACATTCAAGATAAACAGTTTAAGCTCCTTAGATGACTTACAATGCAGATACATCTGTGCTCACCACCAAAGTTCGCAGCACTGTTTGGCTCACCTTAGTGTATTCTAGGACACATTATTAATTTATACAATTTTCTTGGAAAATCTGCATACTAATTATACCACCTGTTGTTTATGCTACTCTATCTATCTTTGATATTTTTGTTGCTACCTCAAAATTAATGGGCCATTTTTCATATTATTTTGCCTCTTCATTCTTCCACAGAAATTACATGACAATTTCTTTTCATAATTGCCACACATCACCATTATTATAATAATGGTAAGGCTCCTTTTTATAATAATAATAACAAAATGTTAAGCACAAAACCAGCACTTTTCAAACAATTTTCACATACACCATTGAAAAGTACTTTCAAGTAAGAAGAGAGATCATATCACCTTCTTTGCACAAAAGAGAAAAAGATAGACTCGGAATGACCAGGTGACCTGTACAAAATCATACAAGTGGTCATTTTTTATACAGAGTACTCACATTTGCAGAAGAACCTCAGTTTCAGAGAGCACCAAATTCCCATCTCATTGATTTTCAGATATCTCATTTAAATATTTAAATGCCTCTATGTATGCATCTAAAGCATGGAGAAAGTGAGTAGATCATTTTCCAGAGGTATATGTTCTAGTTACTAAATTCTAATATTAGCCCTCAAATAATTAATTCAACCCAAGTAAGTGTAAAATACAAATATGAAGGCAAACCAGAGAGACCAATTTTCCCAGGAAAGGACCAGCTTCTCCCAAAATAACCTGATATTTTCTTTTAGTGCAAAGAGAAAGGCAGGGGAGGGTCTGAAATGGTTGGAACTCCAGAATGTGGAAAGGTCGAGATGATGTAAAGAGGCAAGAATCAGGCCACAGAGACAGGCTGCAGCTGAGCTGCCGAACAGTGCCTTCTGAGAGGTGGAACGGGCTGCATCTGTGTCTACGTCACCAGTCATCCTCACAGTCAACTCTTAAGAAGGTTACTCTCCGGGTTCAAATCAGGACCATGTGTAACTTTCAAAGAGTGCACATCTCCTGCTTCTCAAAGTCCTCTTTTGTGTTTTTCTAAACAAAACGGAATTTAGCCCATGCATGCAATTATGATGCTAGAACTAGTATACTTAGGGCTCTCAAATGCATACTTGACA